GGCCTTGTACTCGCTAGGTGAGTGCTCTCCTGCTGAGCCACAACCATAGCCCCTAGACTACCAAAACTTCTTAAAACTGATAGATAAATTCATATTCATGATAAAACAGTGGTAGATATGAAAGGAAGAGGCATTTTATGATAAAGTTACATTGTAATTCTAATGCCACCTAATACATATAAATATGAACATTATATTCTCTTCCAGTTGAAACAGGTGCAAAATGTCTCCCTAAATGTAATAGTTAAAATTAACAGGAAAGCTGAAATAAAAAGTGCATTTTTCCCTCTTAACTAAGATCCACCAAGCAGAAGTTTTTATCCACAAGGTTTTAAAGACGTTAACATTTGTAAAAATCTTAAAATTATAGGATGTCAGGACTGGTTGCTATTCCAGCCCTGCTCTTCTGCCATATGCACACATACATTCTTCTAGCAAGGATTCATGCCTACCAACATAACTTACTGCTACTTCCATACACTTCTTCATTGACACATTCTCATTAAAGTAGGATATAAATATTTGTCAGGATGTGGGGAAAATAGATCTCCATTGTATTAAACAAATTTTTATTTGAATCAGTAGACTTAGGAGGTTTAAATGGCCAATAATACTCAACCATTTTTGACCTACAGAAGTGGGTATTTCATATTTTTCAGTCTAATATTTTTATATATTCTTGCCAACTGCTCTACTGAAACTCCTGTCCAGACTTTATAGTGCCTTGTGTCTCAAGTGTGGTCTTAGCTAGAATGAGCCCAGGGAACTTGTTAGAAATGCACAATCTCTGGTCCCGTCTCCTAGAAACTTGAGTCAGAATCTTCATTTTAATGAGATCCCCAGGTGACTGGCATGTATGTTAAAATTTAAGAAGCACTAGGCAGAAAATCCCTTAAATTCAGTTTGAACATGTTCTTTAAGTCTTTGCGCACACTCTAGATTATTAAGTCCATTCAGTTTGAAAGTCCAATCTTGGTTATAAGCCAAACATTCTCTGGCTGAATTTATGACTCAAGGAACTCTGAAGATGAAAAGAATTTGTTGTTGTTGTTTGTTTCTTCTGGTACCTGGGATGGAATGCCAGGCACTTAACCACTGAGCCACATCCCCAGCCCTTTATTTTATATATATATATATATATATATATATATATATATATATATATATATATATGCTGTAGATGAACAGAATATCTTATTTACTTATTTATTTTTAATTTTTTTATGTGATGCTGAGGATTGAACCTAATGCTTCATATGTGCCAGGCAAGAGTTCTGCCACTGAGCTACAACCCCAGCCCCCTTTGTTATATTTTATGTAGAGACAGGTCTCCCTAAGTTGCTTAGGGCCTTGCCAAGTTGCTGGAGCTGGTTTTGAACTCATGATCCTCCTGCTTCAGTCTCCTGAGCAGCTGGGATCACAGGCATTTGCCACTACACCTGGCTAAGAACTGTTTTAATCAGTTCTCTTTTCTTTCCCCCTCATGCTGAGAACTGGGAAGGAGAAAAAGGATAAATATACAATCCATATTGCAAATGCTCACTCTTCCATGAATTGTACATTGAGTTCTCCTAGAAACTGAGGCAGCCTCTGACTGTACTCCCTCACTCATCCTGGGAGATGGATCAAAATTGGCCCTGTCTCTTCTAATCTTTTTGCTTTCTCCCCCAAAGGTATATATAGCTTCTTGCTGCTGGAATTTCATTTCCCCATAAATGTCAAGATGGTTTAAACCTATACAGCACTTACTACATGGTATCAGTTGATCCTTGAGAAATTTTTTTTTCCATTTTTTTTATTGATTGTTCAAAACATTACAGAGCTCATGATATACCATCTTTCATACATTTGACTCATTTGGGTTTTGAACTCCCCAAATACATAATGCAGACTCACTCTGTTACATGCTCACATTTTTACATAATGGCATATTAGTGACTGTTGTAACATATCCTTCTCTTGCCCATCGGTGGAAGTGCAGATTGTTTTACTTTAGCCCACTCCCTGGTCAGCCATTTCTCTCTAAGTCTTTCTTCCCATATTCAGGTAAATATAGGGCAATATCCACCAATCTGCTAGTGGATGAGATACCAGTTTCCTGTCTACAATCGCCTCCAGTTTCTCTAGCAGATTCTTTTGGAAACTTTTTCACTTAAGTTGGTGTGGGATGGGGTATAAAAAGGAAAAGCCACAATACTTACCAGAATCCTAAGAAGACACAGTTTTAGTGATTTGAAGTTCCTCCTCTTCCCAAACATTGTGCTTATATGGTTGAGAGTGTGGAGTTGGAAGTTTTGGCTATGATAGGTTTAGTTTTACTTTGGACTTCACTCAGCATCTTATACAGGTGTAAGTTATTTTATAGTATTACATATTCTTGTGGGTGCTCAAATACTCAGTTGTCAGTGCAGTATTATTATTACATCAAATTTCGCAGATTTCAGTTTACCTCACCTTTTTATTTAAAAAAAAATTTTTACCTCTCCTTTCATATGCATTACTAAAGCTACCTCTTTTTTTAAAATAAAAAAAATTTTGTAGTTGTAGATGGACAGCATGCCTTTGTTATTTGTTTATGTGGTGCTAAGGATGGAACCCAGTGCCTCATACCCTCATATGTGCTAGCAAGCGCTCTGCCACTGAGCCATGGTCCCAGCCCAAGGCTACCTCTTGACAACAGTCTGCGCACAATCATAACTTGGAATGCAAAGATGATTCTAAAAAGTATGTTTACGTATCATTTCATTCATTGAATTATTCATTACCTCGGGCATTGGAATGGATGCTGCATATATAGTAGTTAACAAAACAAATAGTTCTTTTCCTACTTATCATGTGGTAATAGGAATGATGGTTAATAAGAAAACAAGTATTAAATACATGTAATTAAAAAAGTATTATGGGGTAAATAGTGGACACAATACAAGAGATTTTCTGTGGGTACTGAATTGGGAGGGGGAGATCTACTTTAACAGTAGTTGTATCTTTGAGATATAAATGGTGAGGAGCCAGCCATGAAATAAGGTGGGGTGGTAGGTCAGGCAATGGAATGACAGGTACTAAAGCCTGGGAGCAGAGAGATTAGTAAGGAATTAAAAAGAAGTTTCTGGGTGGGTGTTACAGAAAAGGGAGAAAATTATAGGATATGAGATTGGAGAACTAGGCACGGGCCAGATCCAAATGGTATAATGGTCACGATTACAGTCTGGATGAAATGGGAAATGATAAAAGGATATTAAAAAGAAACATAATGTCATTCCACTTATATATTCAAAGTAACATTTTTTAAAAAATATTTATTTTGGGGGGCTGGGGATGTGGCTTAAGTGATAGCACGCTCGTCTAGCATGTGTGAGGCACTGGGTTCCATTCTCAGCACCCCATAAAAATAAAGATATTGTGTCCAACTAAAACTAAAAAATAAATATAAAAATATTTTTTAGTTTTAGTTGGACACAATATCTTTATTTATTTATTTCTATGAGGTGCTGAGGATGGAACCCAGGGCCTTGAACATGCTAGGCAAGCGCTCTACTGCTGAGCCACAATCTCAGCTCCAAAAGCAATATTCTTGTACTTGGTAGAGAACAAATTGAAGGGGGTATCTATGATATCTGAAATGCCTAAGAAGAGACATCAGGTAGGTCATTGGACATATGTGTATGGAACACAAAGGAGAGGTGTAGGCTGGAGTTAAAAAGTTTTGAGGGTTCCAACAATAAATTGTAAAGATCTACAACCACCATCCTCAACACCCAAGAGATAATTCTCTGAAATTTCCTAGGGTTCCAACAATAAATTGTAAAGATCTACAACCACCATCCTCAACACCCAAGAGATAATTCTCTGAAATGTTTATTCTCACAACTTATAGATAAGAACCCTGACACTCAGAGGAATTACTTGCTCAGTGTCCCTCAGCTTAGGAAGTTTTAGTCAGGATTTAAGCCTAAACTTTGACTATGAAGTCCACAATATCTTCTACTTCCCTATATTTTAATGGGACTAGAAAGAATATGAGTAATTGACTAAACCATACATTAAAAAGAAATTACTTTTGTTTTCTATTATGCATATCTTAAGCTTCTTATTTTCCAATTCACTCTAAATGGTGCTGGTAACACTAGGAATGTCATTGACAGGACGGATGAGAGAGGTACTATAAAAGAATAGACACAATTTGTGACTGATGGAACATAGGAGATAGAGGAAGAATCTGAGCAAAGGAGATAAGGGAATTATAGAAAAAAATCATTGATTAAAAAAATGGAAAATACTTTAATGGATTTCGTATGTGCCAGGTATCATTATACACGCCCCCCCCAATCTTCTTCCAATTATCTCATGAGATGGACTTATTATCCTCATTTTACAGATGAAGAAATTAAAGAATAACAGGGAAGTTGAAAAGAGTTGGAAATGATTAGTTTAAGTGATAGCAAGGCATACATGGAGTGAACAGAATATCTGAATTACACAAAAAATTGTGTTTAGGCTGGAGGACATTAATTTAGGATCTATGAAACCATGAGACAGTATTTTTGTTTAATGGAAACAGGAGTGGGAAAATTGGAAAAACCATTAGGAATAACTTTTTTCTGGGAAAGAATATGGGGAGAAAGGAGTTTTGAACTGAACTATGGGAAATATATGAGCAGTGGCAGAGGACTGAGCAGAAAAATGAGATTATCAACAGGTCTTGTAAATAATTAAACACAGAATATGAAAAAGGGAGGAGTCACATGAACATAGTTTGATTCTGGTGACTAAGAGGTCAATGAAGCCACTAAAAAGGGCAAAGGTATTTTTGAAATATGTATACTAGAGGATGTGAAATATGAAGAGTGATCACTGTCTTCAGGATAAAATCCAAACATCAGACCCTAGAAACATTTAAACTCTCTTGTCTGGCTGCAACCTATTTCATCAGTATTATTCTCTTGCTACCTAACAGTATTAGGACTCTTAATTGCGGGTGACAGAAAACTTGTCACTGGTTCTAGCAATAAAACACATCCAAGAATTTATTATTTTAATTGAAATTTCCAGAGCAACCTAGTTTACAATGGTTTCCGTGACATCAAACATGACTTTAGGCCAAATATCCATCTTTGAATCTGCACCACCCCGCCCCCGCCCCAGGGTACTTTCTCATTAATCATGCATGAAAAGCTGGCTCCAGTCCTCCATTCTTTCAGATTCAGATCCACTGGAAAAGAGGTAACATCCCAGATCAACTCAAATATACCTTCCCCCTGATGTCCTTTCCAGACCATATGGACTGGGTAGAGGGACGATAGTTCTCCAAATGAAATTATCAGAATGGGAGTGAATGCGGAACAAACAGAAACGTCTATTAAAATTCCTTCTACTAAATGGAGTAATTAATAAATCATGCTTTTCCACTTCCCGAAGAAAAATGCTCAGGTGAAAGATCAGGGATCTGGATTAAGTTCTTCGACTCTGATTTTTTTTTTTTCACGTGGACCAATTGTATTTCAAGCATCGGGGGAAGTAATTTCACCTCTCTCCCCAGGTAAGCTGTAAATATTCACACGCTGTTCTAACCAAAACAAAACAAAACAAAACAAAAACAGAGCAAGTGTCCACAACTCCCCATCCCTGCACCCAAGTCTTTCATTACACTGTCACTTGGTTTTCACTAAAAGGCCAGCGGGGAAACTGCAAATGAGCAAATACATCCAGACCTCTTGCCCCACTGCTGCGGCTGAAGGTGCCGGTCCTGTCTCTCCAGCCCAACCACCAGCCAGTAAGAAGCACTCGAAGACGCGCGCCTCCAGGGTCACTGGTGGTCCAGGAATCTTCGCAACCTCCAGGAGAGGAAATCAGAGTGCTGAGGCGTGTCCACCCAACACTGGAAAAGCCTAGCCTGGCGTCAGCAAAGCTCTGCTTTTCGAGGAAGAGAGCATCCCCCTTCTGGCCTCTGGATCTCTTACCCGTCAGGAGGCTATTTCTTCACCTCCTTGCCCAGCATCCATGGTGCAAGTCAAAGAAGCCCCGACCTACCGCTAAAGCTCCCCGGTCCCGCCTCCCAGGCTTTCCATAACCAGTGCCCTCCCGAGTGGCTCAGGGAAGGGGGCGCCGGGAGATCCCGGTTTCCTTCGGCGACCACAGAGCGCGTACAAGCACGGTCCCAGGGAGCAGGAGTCTCGGGCGCCCGGGATTCCCTGGCGCAGCTCCGCGCTGTCTAACGGGGCAAGTCGCATGCGCACCGAGACGCGCCGGGGAAAGCGAGCGCGAGGGGAGGGGCGAACGCAGAGCCTCGGCTGACCGCGGAACCCGGGGGTCACTGACAACGCATGCGCCGGGAGGGAGCGCAATCACGGACTTCTCTTGCGGCTACCGCTTTAAAAAAGGAAACCCCGGGCAGCGAGAGCGCGAAGTAAATCTGGCCGCCGCCGCGTGCGCGCACCCGGTGAGTGGCGCCCCACCGGGTGGGCCAGGGCCTGACGTCCACCGGTTGGCTTGTCCCGGTGGCGCATGCGTGCTGCCGGTGCCGGTGGAGGAGGGGAAGGGAGGGAGGGGGAGGAGGAGCGGGCGGCAGTAGCGGTGAATTTTTGGGGGTGGGTGGGGGCGCCACTCGCAGCCCCAGGTGCTGCTGGCGCTAGGAGCCACGGTGTCTCCTGGACGCAGCCGGTTGGCGGTTCCGAGTAGCCGCAGCCTGAGTCTTGGGTGGGGGAGGGAAGCAGCCGGAGCCGCCGCAAGCCACACGGTGAGGGCGCGGGCAAGGGGAGGGAGCGGGGGGCGGTGTGTGGGGCCGGGGGGCGGCGGCCAAGGAGGGGAAGGCGGGAGCTGAAGCCCAAGTTTTGCGTCTTGCTTAGCGTGCCTCTTCCCGGGAGTTGGGGCGGAGGCCCTCGGGGGCCTCGGGGCTTCGGGGGCAACTGGGGTTACCTGCGGGGCAGGGGCGGGATTGGGGTGCGCGGCGGGCCCCGGTGACCGGAGGGTGACCGGGTTCCAGCCGGTTCCAGCGGCCGTGCGTCCGGGAAAGCTAGCCTGGTGCCGCGAGGGCTTTCGCCCGGGACCCGCTAGGCCTTGTGACCCACTTTTATTCCTGTCACCACTCGGGCACGTTTGGAGCGGCGCCCAATGGGGCGCTGGGGCGGCCAGCTCCTCCGGGGAACCCCCGCCCTCCTGGCGCCCCGGCCGCGCGTCGCCGTCCGCAGTCCGAGCGGCTGCTGCCGCCGGTGGGCTGGTTCCGTTAGTGGTCGTGGTTCCGGGGCTCGGTCCCTGGGGAGAGCGCGGCGCGGGGCGTCGGACTTGAGCTGCGCGCGGCTGGAGGGCGCGGCGCCGGGCTTCCCTTCTGCCCTGACGGGCGCCTCGAGCTCCGATTCGCCGCGGCGGCTGGCGTTTCTGGATCCCTTTCCGCCTGCGAAGCTGGCTTCCCTGGAGATGGTCCCGGCGCTCCGGCCGCTGGTGTGTAATCCCTAACACGTAGAGCCGCAGTGTATTTTCGGGAGGGTGTTTTTCTTTGGCGTGGAAGTCGTTCTGTTGAGAATAGACGGTAGAATCCTGAAAGATGAAAGCCGTGGCCTCTGACCTGGCAGATGACAGATAAGTCGGGCTGTGGTTTTTCGCTGTTAGAATGTCAGGCTTAGTAGGCTTTCTAGCCTTCTTAAAAAAAAGTTTTTTCTTTCTCTTACAGTGAAAGAAAAGCACAAGAAGAAACTTTTACAGTCATTTTGATTTGACTGGTACGCTGATCCCCCAAATCAAAGTAAAGGTAATTTCACTTTAAGATTGCTTTAAGTGATCAGCGGAGAGACTTGTGGAATTATTTCTCCCCTCCTACCTGTTTGGAAATTAACGTTCTTTTAAAAAAGATGCGATTTATAGAATGAATGGCTTTTACTGAAACATCCCTCAAAACGACACCTCAAATCTGGTTTGTTTTAAAAATCTCCTTCGAGGAAGGAAACTAATTCTTGTGTTAAGTATTTGACCGAACAGAATGTCATTAAAGGTTAGCCTGAAGAAGGCAGACTGAAAATGTGGTAGAACTAGTCACAATCAACTGTGGAAAAAGAATGAGGAAACTTTCTGTGCACTGACGTGGAAAGATCTCAAAATTTTGTCATAGAGCAAAAAAAACACCACCAACAACAACGACAAAAACCCCAAAACCAAGTTGTAGAACAATGTGCTCTTTTATGTGTTGGGTGAGTTGTAATAACAGCCTAAACTTGCATTTGTTCTCCTATTAATAGAGTAACTAGGAGGATACCAGAAAACTAATAATGATAGGAAGGGTGGGATATAGATGTACCATGTGTATGTCTAGTGTTTTAAAATTTTGGGACTATATTATGGACTAATAAACCAGGTTAAACAAAACTCCACCTTGAAATAATTTAGGTGGTTTTTGTTGCCTAATTGATGGTGATTTTGGCCATTTTCCATATGGTTTTTCTTAGTGTTAAAAAAAAAACTGAGACAAAAAAATGTTTTAGAGATGTTGATTTGCCTTGTTAAAGTAATTAATAACCATATTTACCTTTGGCACAACAGTTGGGTTATGCTGCTTTCTTCAGAGTACAGTTTGTGTTACCCTTTTTTTTAGGAGTTAGAGTTGTATAAAGTTTTGCTTTTATTGACTTCAAAATTTGAACACTCCATTGTAATGATAATAAAATGTTAAAAAATTTAATTGTCTAAATTAGGGTGCTTTTCAGGTTGGGAAATTTTTCTTTGCCTTAAGGAAATCAGTTATGAATTGCAGTGAAATATAAATTTATGTGTGAGAGTGTGTGTGTGCTCACATATACACACATGCGTATTTATTTCTTATGAGAAATAAAACTGAGAAGCAATGTTATGTTGGCTAGGAATTATTCTAAGCATTGTGTTAATGATTTTTTAGTTTTGCCAGTCTCACCTTTTTAATGAAGTTAAGACTGAAAAACAAGGTTGTCAGAGTGGATATAATTTTAGGGAGGGCCTGCTCAAACTCTCTCTGTGACTTAATATTATATAGTCAAAGTAGTTAATAGAGATGGTTTAACAGTTGCTGTGTGCATCTTTAGTAATAATGATCTTTTTTATTTTGTAGGCTAGGATAGTAGCCACAGTAGTACAGAATGACGCTTTTCATTTGAACTCCATGTATGAAGATCTTTTCAATCTTTTTACAAATGAAATAACATTTCAAAATTTGATTTTTAAAATTACAGAAGTGACACTTATGAAAAATTAAAACAATATAGTGTATTTATAATAAGCAAAAACCCTCTTTATACGTTTCCATTTCTGTCTCACATCTCTCTTTGGAAACAATCACTGTTATCTTTTTGGTATATATCCTAGATTCTTTTTATTTACAGATATATCCTTTTTTAATCTTGCAAACTGAATTGGTGTGTTCTTGGTTTGTTCTGCCAGTTTGTCTCTATTCTGGACTTTTTTTTTTTTTTTCTTTTCTACCTACAGGACAGGGAAATGACCTGGAGTATGTCAGAAAGTTTAATATGTGATAAACCCCTTTGGATACTCATCTTTTTACTGGTGAGGGGCTAGTCGATTTGGAAGTATTTGTAGTTTGCAGGGGAATCAAACTGATGTGAGGTTTATCTGTATAGATTGAACTCATGTAGACTGAAGTCAGCACGAAGACTTAGATTCCATGATTTTTTTTTTTTTTATAAGACTCTTTGGAGTTCAACTTTTAGGGACTTCTTTAGTTTGGTTTATGCTTAACTGACAACAGATAAGTAGTACCCAACCCTTCCACTCTCACAGAACCTACCTCCTCCTTGTTTTTTTTTTTTTTTTTTTAAACTAAGTTACAAAGAAGTTCCAAGTTATTTGAAACTTTTCAGGTGATAGAGATTGCAGAAAATTCAAAATATTAAAACTATTACTTACAACTATGTAGGGTACATAGAAAGGTGCAGTACAATTGACTCTGCAGTACAGTTGAGTTCAGTGAATTATTCTAATAAGATTAAAAAGCATGCACATTCATAGTAAAACAAGATTTGAAAAGATATTTTAGAAGAAAAAGGTACACTTGTACGTTGCTGGTGGGATTGCAAATTGGTGCAGCCAATTTGGAGGGCAGTATGGAGATTCCTTGGAAAGCTGGGAATAGAACCACCTTTTGACACAGCTATATCCAAAAGACCTAAAAAGAGCATACTACAGGGACACAGCTACATCAATGTTCATAGCAGCACAATTCACAATAGCTAGATTGTGGATCCAACCCAAATGCCCTTCAGTAGATGAATGGATTAAAAAAATGTGGCATTTATACACAATGGAATATTACTCAGCACTAAAAAAACAAAATCATGGCATTTGCAGGGAAATGGATGGCACTAGAGCAGATTATGCTAAGTGAAGTTAGCTAATCCCTAAAAAACAAATGCCGAATGTCTTCTCTGATATAAGGGAGGTGACTCAAAACAGAGTAAGGAGGAAGAGCATGAGAAGATTACCTCTAAACAAGCAAGAGAGGTGGGAGAGAATGGGAGGGAGAAGGGGAATTGCACCAAAGATGGAAGGAGTCCCTCATTGTTACACAAAATACATATATGATGGTGTGAGGGGGAAGGGAAAAAAAAAGAGAGTTAAGTGTCACAGTAGAATGGATAGAGAGAGGGGAGGGGAGGGGAGGGGGGAATAGGGAGGGCAGCAGAATACAACTGACACTAGGATTGCTGTATGTATACACATGGATGTATAACCAGTGTGATCCTGCAATGTGTACACATGGAAAAATGAGAATTCATACCCTATTTGAATCAAATGTATGATATGTGAAGATCATTGTATTGTCTTGAGCAGCTAATAAAAAAAAATACAAAGTTTTTAAGGCTGAGATTATTGCCAGCCTTTTGATTTTTTTGTGTTTAGCGGGTGTGGATTTTGAGGGAGAATATTCTACCTCAACCTTTTAAATAGGAAAGAAAGAATAGAACAAACTTAAAAAGTTCATATCGTAGCTCTTGATGTTAAGGAGTTAAGTTGCAACATTATAGGAGGTGTCTGTGAGACTGGTGGCTATTTTAATAGTTTTTTTTTAAAGCATTCCCACTGGAAAGAGACACTTGTTTTATTTGGTCATTAATTATATTAGTCTGTAATCTTTAGATTTCAGAGTTGTTAGAAATATTAAATTGGGAAATCTAATGCTATCAGTTAATTGTTGTCTATCATCAAATGTGTCAGGCAATGTTAGTATTTTTTAAAAAGTTGTTTTGTCCTATATCATTTTCTCCTCACATTTTTACTTCTGGTACTATGTCAAATAAGATGCTTATTTTCTGTTAATATTTTAATAAAAACATCATCATGGGGAGAAAATTAGTTCTACATTATAGCAAAACTTTTTTTGTATGTGTCTGTTTCCTTCTAGTTTTTGTGGTTACATAAAGTGAAAATATTTTTTGAAGTATTGTTTCTTGTTGTCATTATACCATCGGACATTATATTTTCTCCTCTTCTGAGTCTAAAATTCCGGATGGAATTAGATAAATTATTTGTAGAATGCTTTCAAGTGTCAGAGAAAGTTATCCTTTCTGATTGACTGTTTAACTATATGATATATATGTATATATTTTTTAAAAATATTTTTTAGTTGTTGATGTACGTTTATTTTTTATTTTTTTATATATATGTGGTGCTGAGGATTGAACTCAGACACATGCCAGGCAAGTGCTCTGCCACTGAGTCACAAACCCAGCCCCAGACATTTATATTTATAGGTTCTTTTATCACCATTTGTTAATAGCCCTGCTCTGTGTATTTTCCATGAATTAGTGAAGAGATTCCTATTTTTCTCAGTGTTTTTTTATTATGCAAATGTTGAATTACCTAAACTCATTCTGATAAATATAGTTTAACCGAGTTTTTATTTTATTTGTATGTTTCATAGAGAAGTAATTTTGCTTATTATTATTATTTGTATGGTTCTAGAGTTTGAATCCAGGGCTTTCCTGAATGTTAGGCAAGCACTCTACAAACTGAATTACATCACCAGTTCTGCTTATTATTTTAAGACTTAGAAGTCTCCAGAGAAAAATCACTTATAAAAAGCAAATTTTTATGAAATGTCTTTGATTTTTAAAGTCTGCACTGTTGGATACAATTTACTATTTGCTTTTTAAAAACTAAGGTCAAATATTAATACAGAAATTCCTCAAGTAATTTACATTTAAATTCTCACTACAGATAGTGAAAAATGAAAATACAGGTTCATGTTCAAAGGTTTTTGTATTAAAAAGAAAACACACATAAATGGGAATTGTACCAATGAAGGTTAAAATATTTACCTAGCTAAGAATTTATTATTTATGTTAAAATATGATTTCATGCAAATAGTTGATTTTCTTAATGTTCTCCCTTAATTATAAGAATAGTATATTTCAGTAGAAAACTTGGGAAACACTAAAAAAACACAGTTTGAATTTTAAAAGTATCATTGGAAATCTTATCATCAAGAGAAGCCATTGTTAGTCTTTTGGACTATCTTCTTTATTGCATTTTGTTGAGCCATTATGTATGTATATATACAGTTAAAGATGCAGGATGGTACAGGCCTGTAGTGCATCCACTATAGTGCAAATTTTTCTATTGATTGTTAATCAATGTATATTTTTTATTTTTTAGAAGTAGTTGGACACAATACCTTTATTTATTTATTTATTTATTTATTTATATGTGGTGCTGAGGATCAAACCTAGAGCCTTGCATGTGCTAGACAAGCGCTGTACTGCTGAGCCA